AAATCTTTAGGTTTAGAATTATTTTTCTATTTGTAATAAAGTTTCTACTATGGTATTATATTAATAAAAAAAAAAAAAAAAAAAAAAAAGTTAAAAGTGGTATGTTTAGAGATAGAAAATCATAAATTATGGATGAGATTTTGAAAATATTTGTAGAATAAAATGAGATTTGTAAATAATTAAAGAAGAATATATTATATTTGGCTAGTTGTGTAAGGTGGAAAAGTAAAGTAAAGTTGTGTATTTTATAATAATATTTATTTAATAGATTGGTAAGAATTACATTATTAATGTTTTTTTTGTTAATAATAACATTTTTTGAATTGGATAATAAATAATCAAGATAATTTAGTTTGTATATTTGTATAAATTGGTGTTATTGTAGTAAATATTCAAGCAAGAGTTATAAAATTAAATTAAACAATACTGATCTAAAATCACAACTTCAGATAGGATACAACTTCAAATACAGCAGCATATGTATTATATAAACTTGGTTTGATTTTTTAAATTTTACTTGTACATTTTGCTGAATGTTTTACAAAATATTTGCACATTAAGAAAAGCTCTTGCATATGTGCATCTAGTGCAAGCAAATTTTAAACACTGGGTGATTTAATGTTTATTTCAGCTTAAATAGTAAACCTATATATAGGAAGGGTGAAGAAAAGTTGAGGTTTCTGTACTTGAATAGTTCAATTATTTTACAAAATGTTTGAATAAAATCACATGCAATTAAAATTTTATCATCACTTTTCTCATATTCTGATTCGCTTTTCTTCCAAATTAACAACTGCAAGATGATTATAGGGACAGTCAACTCTAGGCATAGTTAACTCATCATATGAGTGTTGCCGAATTAAAACCAATAATTGATCATAGCAAATTCTTTTTAATTTGTCGCATTCTTATATAATTCACCGCTAGACCACTAGTGCTATTTTTTAATCTGTAGATACAATGTGAAGTTGCTAACTGAACTTCATCAATTCAAGAAATTTAAGAGACTGCTGATTATATAATGTGACAAAAATACTTACAATCCTAAAATCTAAACATGTAACTCTAAAGCTTACTAATATTTTGTAGTTTTAATTTTTTATCTTAATTAGAAATTATCTTTTGTAGATTCAGTTACATATACTTAGTCTGTCATTAGCACAAATCTCTAGGTAAATTGACATTTCGTTTATTCACTTACATGTGTCTTAAATATTTTAGATATTACGTTTTAGTATAGAATAATTTGGATTTTTTATAATGCTGAAATATCTCTATTAAAAATAAAGTATCATGTTATTTGCGATTTGCAGGAAAAAATTTTCAAATATTGTTTTTTTTTAACTCAACAATTTTATTTATCTGATTATACTTATTATAAGGTTGCAAAACTTTATATCTGTATGCTAGTTTGTATTTCTTTATTTTTAAGAATTCTAAAAGCTGTATAACTACTGATCAAGCTTATCCCTTTAACGATTTACTTATCCAGGCAAATTTGCCTGCAAAAAATTATCCAATGATTGCATATTTTTGATCTTGCAAAATTTACAAATATTAATTATATCATTAAATCTAAATCATAGTTGTGTTATTTAGTCAGATATCAAGTTTTGAACATAGCGCTCAGATTCATCAGATATTTTAGCTCTTGAAAATTTAAATCCAGATAAATGTTTCAACCTGACAGGTTAAGCGTCACATCCGGTAACTGCTTTGATATGGATTCATACGACTTTTGCAGGGGTTATTTCTGCTACCCGAAGATGAAAATATAAACAGAGAATTAATAAAATTAGATAAAAATGGTATTGGCTAAAAGCTCTTTGCAAGTAGTTTTTCCAATATGTAATAAGAATGGGGGTCCATTATTATTTATGTGAGTTGTACTATTAAAAACAATTTTGATCAAAAATTTGCAGACAAATTTGCCTGCAAATCCTTTAAAGAGATAAATAGCTGTTAGATTTTAAGCGGTCGAAACCAGTTATGGTCATGACCGTTTCAGTGGAATGAGACCATAAGTATGTACGTGCCAGTTTAGTTGTAAAATAATTAAGACTATCTTTTTGGCATTTCAGTTTGTTTATTAATGTTTCTCTGTCTGCTTGTGTTACGCATCCTTGGTTAGAATTATATTAATATTAATTTAGAAGTAATCTTCATGTAACAAAACCGGTGGATCATATAAAAAAGGAAAAATAAATACGTACTCGGTTTCGATTCTTAAGTTGCATATGTTTATTTTTCTATTACCACTTTGATGTAATAAACAATTTGATTTTTTCTTAAATTTTCACAAATATGTCTAAAGATTTGTTTAAAATTGCTTTTGGACAAAAATTCGAATATGATTCTTTTGAAGACATGACAAAAATTGGTAAAGGAGGGTTCGGAAGTGTATATAAAGCCTACTCAAAAGATATAAAACAAACTGTGGCTTTGAAGACTTTAGATTATGAATATGAATATTCATTTGACATTTTTATTAGAGAAGTACGCATTATTTTTGTTACTAGCATATACGATATTATTAACTTATCTATTTGAAACCTTTATATTTTAATATTACAAGGTTAAATACACTACCAAAGTTAATCATGATAATATAATACAGTTCTTTGGAGTTACTCAAGGCATGCTAATTTTTACAATACGGATAAATAACTTTTAGTAAATATTTAATTATTGAAAAGTCATTTAAAATTTATGAATTAGATTTTGAAACAAAAACCTACTATATGGTTCTTCAATTCGCAAATAGTGGAGACCTTCGATGCTATTTGAATGATCACTTTTCAAATTTAGATTGGCCAACTAAAATTAGAATGGCAAAAGAAATTTCAAGTGGGATTGATTGTTTGCACAGAGCAAATATTGTTCACCGCGATCTTGTAAGAGGTTTTCCTTTATTTGTTTGTCATTCTATGTTATGAATACTATTAACATAATATAATATGGATAGCATGATAAAAACATATTAGTAAACGATGGTAGAATGATAATTACGGACTTTGGTTTATCTAAGTTATTAGATAACAGCACAAAGTCTATAACAGGTGGAACATGTGCATATTCTGATCCACAATATCTTCAAAGTCCGTTCATGTATAAGCGAAACAAACCTTCAGATATTTATAGTCTCGGTGTTCTTTTTTGGGAACTTTCAAGTGGTATACCTCCTTTTAAAGCTTTGAAGGATCTAAGGGAAGTAACACTTCATGTAATCCTAGGTAATCGAGAAACTCCAACTGAAGGAACCCCTATTGACTTCAAAAATCTTTATTGCGCTGCTTGGAGTGTTGAACCAGATAGTCGTCCTGACATTAAAGAAATTTGCAATAAGTTAGATTATATGCGATTGGAACCAGTTTATCAGAATATTAATATGAATACTTTGAACTATAAATACAAAGGTAATTAATGATTTAAAGACTTTATATTTTATAATTAAGAATAAAATATAATTTATCAATAAAAAATCCACATTATTAAAGGTACAGATGTCGATGCGACACCATCCTTAAGTACTGTTCCATTCTCAAAATTTACGCAAATTATAAACGACATAATAAATGTTACTGAAGAAGTAACACCAATATATCAGTCAGCAGAACATAATAAACGTATTAGTAAATCATTATTTGAAAGGATTGTAGCAATTGAAACATCACTTCGATTATTAAAAGCATATAAAGATGAACACAAAGAATTTTTTAACAAGCAGAATTTTGTAGCCATACAAAAACTTTCAGATATTATCCAAAAGATGAAAACATTCATTAGCGAAATAACACAATTAAAAGGACTGCGAAAATATAGTCAAACCAAATCTATTCAAGCTATGTTCCATGAATTAACGACAGAATTTGATAGTTGCGTAAATATGTTAAATTTTATTAATACAGATAACATAAAAAGTCGTACAGAGCATGAAAAAGAGATCATAGATAATGATCTTGAAGAACTTAATCAAGTGCTTTATTATTTATTATTATTTCTCATAATAAATAGTCAAGTTATAAAACATATTTTAATAATTATAATAATTATTAGTATCTTCTCAAAATTGGTGGTGGTATTACTGATGAAGATAATAACATAAGTGAGACTGTCAATGAAATAAATATGGTCAAAAAACTCATTTTGGATTCAAGAACTAATCGAGAGCAAATCCAGGCAATTATTGAGGATCAAAATAAGCTGCTTAAACTTGATGATTTTAAAGAAACAGATGAAATGCGTGGAAAAAAAGTTAAAAAGTACATTCGCCTAAATGATAACAAATCCGTCGCTTTTAAATACGTAACTGATGAATCAGATACTACCAATGCTAAGAATGACATTCGAAACCATGTTGCTATTCTTATGAAGCTTAAAGACTGTCACCAGATAATTCAATTCCATGGCCTTATTTCTGACGGCGAAAAATGTTATTTAGTGGCTGAGTGGGCTGAATGTGGTAATTTACGAGAATTTTATAAGAATTACGGTGGCCCTATTGAAGCTAGAAAAAAATTAAGTATTGCAGTTGATATTGTTCGAGGATTAAATTTTTTACTGGCTGTAGAGGTGATTTCATTTTTCCAGTTATGATTTTTATATAAAAATTTATTAAATTATATATTTAAATAAATAATATACAGATAGTTCACCGAGACATTCGGCCGGAGAACATTTTGATAACAGCAAACGAAACTGCAAAAATTACCAACTTTTCATTTAGTAGATACATTAGAGATGATACAAGGAAATTAGCTGTGTCATTACAAACTGTTCGCTACGCTGCCCCTGAAATGTTATATAGAAATAATAATAAATATAATACTAAATGTGAAGTCTACAGGTATTTTCTTAAATCTACCCTTTTGCTCATATTTGTAACAAATAATTACTGTTTAATAATAATGATTTTTTTTATAACAATTACTATTATACTATATAATGATTAGTTTTGGCATTCTTTTATGGGAGTTAGCAGAGCAAAGGATTCCATATGAAGACCTTGATGATATTATAGAAATTAAAAATCGTGTAGATAAGGAAAAATATCGTGAACCATTTACAGATTATTCTGGGTTACCAAAAGAATATAAAGAAATCTCTAGAAAAGGTTTGAATTTACTATCTATTTTTGATTATTATTTTTTTTATCCCAATTCTTTTCAGTAATCATAATTTCATTCTTTTATAGCTGTTGGTGCTGATCCCGAATTTAGACCAACTTTAACAGAAATGTTTAAAATACTCAAAGATCTTTTTGAGCCATTAAATCCTCCAACCTTATCCTCTAAAATACCTTATAAAATTAAGGATGTTCCGCCCATGTCACATACCCACAATGATAACAATATCCAAGATGATAATATTCAAGTTACAGAGATTATCAACTTTGCTGAGTTTAATTATATGACAGTGAAAGAAGCCACATCAACTCATCGTACTAATAATGGTAATTTGGAGATGGCATTCAAATGTTTAAATGCATATGCAAAATTAGGTAATCTAGTCAGTTACATATATGTTTTGGTGATTTAATGTCCGATCATAAATAAAGTAAATAATTATTTAAACATCTACAAATTTATTTATTAACGTTATAATAAATTTTAGGAGATTTAAAAGCAAAATACTTTGTTGGTTATTATCTTTATAGAAAGTTAATAAATACTCATTATACTGAAGAAGAAAGAGAAAGGCGTGCTGCTCAATTGTTTAAAGAAGTTGCGGATGCAAGTGATGAAGTACCTGATGCACAATTAAAATACGGGTTATGTTTATTTAATGGTACGGGTGTCGATAAAAATTATTCAGAAGCTGCAAAATATTTTAAGAAAGCTGCTGATAATGGACTTGTAGTTGGCATGTATAATGTTGGAAATATACTTTATACTGGTCTTTCTGGTGATAAAGATGAAGAATTAGGTGTGAAATATATTAGAAGAGCGGCTCAGAATAATCATTTAGAAGCTATTGAATTTTGTAAAAAAAAACAATATTTCCATCATTTAGATGTACATTGTTATTGGTTTTTGCCATTGTTATAAATTTAGATAATGAAAATAAATATTGTGGCAGCTTACGCTGAGATTGGCTTATGTTGAGAATTTGATTTATTTTATCATAAAATTATAAAATTTTGGGGCCTTTCTTGTAGTCTTTTTTTCCTGTTAGGATAGGGTTAGAATAGTGTTAGATAAGTTAGAATAGGGATATGATTGGGTTAAAATAGGGTTAGGATAAGTTAGAATTAGTTAGGATAAGTAAGAATAGGTTAGGATAAGTAAGAATAGGTTAGGATAAGTTGGAATAGGGTTTGGATAAGTTGGAATAGGGTTTGGATAGGATTTAGGGTTAGTATTATTAATAACAGATTATATGTGGGTTTTAGTAAATATTGTAGATTTAAATAGGATCCCAGATCTCATCATAAGCCGCCACAAATATTTTAAGTATGATAACTGCAGCAAATTCGTGACCTTACGTTTATTAACTTCAGTATATGGACTAATCCGTTCTATATAGTATAAATTTAGGTAAAGATAATTAAAATAACTATTATAAGAAATAATAACTACCTTTACAAAATCTGTCAAAATTGAACTTGCTAAAAATAAGCAATTTAACAGTGCTGATAATGTACTATTAAAATACAAGTTTTTGAAAATATAAGCACTTTGTTAGCATTTTATTACTATATTTTAATTTTATAAATATATTTGTCAATTATTATGCTAATAAAATACTAATATTAGCAAGATATTATCAATATTTTAGTAATAATAAAGGACTAAAAAATTACCATTATTTAACTAATTTATTAGGTATTTAAAGGTGCTGATAATGAAATAATCTTGTAATAAATTATTAAAATTGCTAAAATAGTACTAATAATGCACTATATATTGCTTATTTTTGGCAAATAATTGCATATCTCGAAATTGTCAGATTTTGTAAAGACTGTTTACTATGAAAATTCAGTAAGTTCATAATCTTTATTCGTTCCCAATTGGCGCAATCATAGTTAATATTTTAACCCAGTATATTCATAACATACATTCTGGTCTCAATAATTGTCACATTTAAAGCTAGAAACAGCTGAAGCAAGAAATAAACTTATTCCAATTTAAAATTTTAAAATATTTTAGAATGCATTTTTTTTAACATATATGAATGCTGCCAAATTAAAACCTGTAAGTATAGTCATATGTCCAGAATACGTCATCAATGATCTCTTCCGGCCTCTTTTACATAGCCCGATAAATCATATACTAAATCAATATAACGATAAATATTTAATTTAATATTGATTTAATTTTCGTGTGACAGATGAGAGATCGTCGATGACGTGCTCTGGACATTTTTTTGCCATGACTAACTGGGGTGCGCGATATACTATGTAAATCAAAACTATACATGGTATCATATAAAAACTTAATATCTAAAATTTTATATAGCATATAATTTTACTTATAATTTTTCGCGAAATTTAAATAGATGCACAGCCTTAACGGTTTAATATTTTAGGATAAAATTTTGCAGAGGCCAATACTATAGCCTTACAAGCAAAGTTATGAAGCTATTTTTCTTATTTAAATATAAAAATAAAGAAATAGTTTAGTCAACTTTTTAAAAATCTTCAAGTTTAAAGGGAATGGCTTCGTAACTTTGGTTGTAGAGTTATCATATTGGTCTCTGCGAAATTTTATCCCAAAATAATAAACCGCTAGAGCTGTGTATCTATTTAAATTTCGCGAAAAACTATAAGTAAAATTATTTGATATATAAAATTTTAGATATTAAGTTTTTGTATAATACCACATATAGTTTTGATTTATATAGTATATCGCGCACCCCAATGCATCATGCATGACAAACACAGTAATGTAGACCAATTTTTTAAAATATTTTATACAATCATGTGACATCAAATATATGTGATTTTTACTATGTAAAAAAAGGTGTCCTTAAAATATACCTGAAGTATAGACTTTTAACCTATGAAAAAAAAAATCAAATTTATAATAATTATCACGTGCTAACTAAACCCTAACTAAAATTACCCCAGGAACACGGCCAGGGCGGCCTGTAAAAAATTGTGCCACACCAGATACTGGGATTTATTTATTTGCGCAAAGTGCGTAAAAACAAATTTAGGGTTATGATCCGTAGCTGTTGCTCATTATATGTAAAATCTCGTCCCCAACATCTTTAATTAGTGCACCAAGGTCGATTTAAAATAGTTTTTGAGTATTTTCGCTTTTTTCGTCTTCCGCACGTGTTTAGAATCCATGTCTGGCTGATCCAGAACGATCAAAATTTGAAAACACTGATTGGCCATTTCCTTTTAGAAGTTTGTATTACCGGCACAAAGTAAAGCCCAGATACCGCGATTTGTAAATTAAAATCACGTGGCATTATATTTAAAAATATATTTAAAAACGCGCGATTTACAATCATTCTTTTCATTCTATTCAATGCTTAATCAAATAAACCTATTTTTACACTAGTTTACAAGTTTTTTAAATTGTCCTGTCAGAATGATAATGTGGTTATTAATTTTTATTATTACATTTACTAAATTTACTACATGCCTGGACCCGAGCGAATTTGGTTTTGGTTACAAAACGCCAGTAATGGGATGGAATCCTTATAATCAAGTAAATATAATCTGATTTAACGTAAATTATTGTGTTATTGAGAAGCTTAACTAACTTAATATTTAATATTTAAAGTTTTATAATTTTATCAGTGAAGAGATAGTTATAAACCATACAAATATTATAGCTGATGAAGGATATTTGGACGTTGGTTATAGATATATAAATCTTGGTAAGTTAATTTATTCAATAATCATATATTTAGTATGCCATATAATATAATTGTATGTACTTATAGATGATGCTTGGCAAAATTCTTCTCGAGTGGACGGAAAACTCGTTTCCATGTTAGTATTCTAAGCATATATTTGTATATATATTTGTTAAAAATAAATATTTAAAACACAATAAACTTATAATCCTTTTAAGATTTCCTAATGGAATTAAAGGTAATTTATGTATTTTATGCATTACATTCCTTATTATGGAAGATGACGAATGTACTTTGCCATATATATATATATATATATATATATATATATATATTAAGATTAAACTTTAATACGTATTAGCTAAATCTAAATAATTAACTTGAATTATATAATCTGTTTTTTAAGCTCTTTCAGACTATGTACATAGCAAAGGCTTACTTTTTGGAATTTACTCATCTGCTGGAAACCTTACTTGTCTTGCACGTCCTGGATCACTAAGTACATATTTTATTTTAAAATGTAATTAGAATCTCAAAATATATACTTATATAAGTAAATTATAGATTTCGAAACTATAGATGCTGAAACATTCGTAGAATGGGGTGTTGACTATTTAAAGTATGATAATTGTCACAGTGATGGAAGTCCTGAACAAGACCGTTATCAGGTAAGAAATACTTTAAAAGTATTCAAACTGTTATTTTTAATATTAATATTTATTTTTGTTATATAGCGAATGCGGGATGCACTAATGTTAGCGACTAAAGGCAATAAAACTCAAATTTATTATAGTATCTGCGAATGGGGGTAAGATGATTTTGCAAAAATTTTTTAGCAAATCTATTATGTTTTACTTAATTAGATTGTATACTAAAATTTTTATATTTTAATTTTAATATTAGGAAAAGTAATCCTTGGTTGTGGGCACCTGGTGTTGGTAATAGGTAATTATTTCTTATCTAATGATTCTAAAGCCTATTACCATCTTATAATAAATTTGCAATGTGCATATAATAATTTATTTGTATTTAATTTTAGTTGGAGAATTTCTGCTGATATTCAAAGGGTCTGGTCATCAATCGTAGCGATAATAGATTCGCAAGCAAGACTTACTCAATATGGAGGATCAGGAGGTTGGAATGATCCTGATATGCTTATAGTGGGCTTTGATTCGATAACTTTCGACGAACAAGTAACACACTTTGCATTTTGGGCTGCTCTGAAGGCTCCTTTAATACTCGGATGTGATGTAAGTTTTACTTAATAAGTTGTTAATTTATAATCTTTTTATAAAATAATATAAATATTTTTAAGTTACATTATAGCTCGCTAAGATTAGTGGAGATGTAAAAAAATTAGTAACAAATATTGATATAATTTCTGTGAATGTAGGTTTATTTCTTATTGTTAAGATATTTTCTTTTTTTCATTAAAAATATTTTTTTAAAAAAAAAACGAGTCATACTACTGTATAACATATTTAACCATATTTAATTCTGAAAATAGCAAGATCCCCTTGGAAAATCTGTATCTCAGGTTTTCCATGAAGATACAAACATGAGTTCTTATGATATTTGGACTGGACCACTTAGTGATGGATGTGTTGCAAGTTTGTATTACAAAAATTTTCGTCCATTATTCCATCAAGTTATTATTGTATATCATAAATATGATTAACTTGTTTTTATTATTTTAGTTTTATTTAATCGTGGAATATCACCTATAAATATTACATTAAATTTTAAGAATCATTGTCGTCTTACGGGTAATATTATGATTCGGGATCTTGTGAAGCAAACGAATATCGGAAATTCTACTACTGATAGGTATGTTCACATATTTCTTTTTTTAAATTAGTGATTACACTAATTGAATAAATAACTCATCTTTTGTAATAAAACAATTGCTAGTTATACTGCTACAAATATTCCAAAACATGGTGTAGCATTTTTAAAACTTATTGGTGAAAATTTACCGGTTGTGTGTGATGGATCTAATTGTCCGAAAATCTCGATTACAAATTATTCATCAATAATAACAAATAAACTCTTTCTTTTCCTTGCAATTGTCATAATTATATCAATTATTTTACTTTTAATTTATTTAAATGTTACTTTTATATGTAAAAATTAAATAAAAAAATTTCTCATCATGTCAAATAATCAAAGTCTACATAGGTATTATTAAATTCAAACTTTGAGGATTTCGGAATGAATAAAAATTTTTATTATGCATCTAAAGTGTTCAAGCATATTAAAATTAGAAACAAAAAACGTACTTACTATAAAAAAATGTAGATTTGAATTTCAAAGGACGATTCATTTTAGTTCGTGAAAACTTTTTGTAATTCAAAATGGTTTTCTTTTTTGTCTTATAAAATATGCATACACTGTAAACACATAATACGTATAACGAGCTAATGATTCTGGATGCAAAAAGAAAAGTTTGCTATGCAAAATTACTATATTTCTTAAGAAGTAAGAACCCTTTCCTTTTATTCAATAATTTATTAAATAAATAATGAACTAATTCATTCAATTTATTAAATTAAGTAAGGTTTGAAAAATCATGTAGCGTGTGGTTGATATGGTAGTAAACTTAAAATATATGGATTAACTCAAAACAGTGAAAATAAATGCCTGATGGTATTCCAATATGCTGATTAAGGAAGCCTTTACAAGTTTTTAGGAAATAATTTTCGTGATCTTAGCCGGCAAACTAAATTAAAGCTGCTTTTGATATCTTGCAAGACAAAAGCATTATTGAAAACCTGCAATCTTATATCTCAGATCTAGGATTGTTTAAAAAACCTAACGAAAACAGTTCAGAAGATGATATTTATGGAGTTCTTTCTTATCATATGGCCAATTTTTGTAATTAGCAATAACTTTTATTCTATTAATCTATTTTAAATGGTTTTATTACCAAAATGATCTCCTCAATGAGGTGATTCCTACAAACCCAAAATTACCAAAATCCAATCACAGGATCTCAATCACTATAGATCAAATAAAATTTTAACTAATAAAATTAATTATTTAGCCAATAAAATTGCTTAAACGAATGTTTGTGTAACCCATTTCATTAGTTTTTTAATAAAAAATTCGTTTAAGCAATTTTATTAGTTAAATATTTAGTTTTATTAGATAAAATTTTATTTGATCTATAGTGATTTTGAGATGACAAAGTGGTGGCAGAAAAAATTCGCGATCAGGTGATCGCCGATGCTTCCGAACCCCTTCGATGCAGCCCGAAAACTTTATACAAAATTTATGCATTTTTTCAAGAACCGAATATCAGAAATATTAATATGTGTACCACATAACTTATATCTGATATTCGGTTCTTGTATAAAGTTTTCGAACTCCATCGAATGGGCCGGAAGCATCGGCGATCGCCTGATCGCGAATTTTTTCTGCCACCATTTTGTCATCTGTGATTTTGAGATCCTGTGATTGAATTTCGATGATTTTGGGCTTGTTAGAATCACCTCATTGAGGAGTTCATTTTGGTAGCAAAACCATTTAAAATAGATTAATAGATTAAAAGTTATTGCTAATTACAAAAATTGGCCCATATGTATGGCGTCAGATGTTTTTTTTTTTTTTTTTTTTTTATTGAGTCAAAAGCTGCTGATATTTACAGTTTTGGAGTTATTATGTCAACTGGACGAAGACCTTTTGATGATTATGATTTTGATCATAGACTTGCAATAAAACTTTGTAAAGGATTGCGACCAGAATTTGCATTCCGGATTATTATGGTAAGTTTGCGAAGCAGTGTATTCAGAAAAACGGCCAGATGCTTACGATGTTTGGAATAAACTTAATAAATGGAATAAAAGCATGAAAAGTTCAGATAATTATGAAATTAAAAAACGATTCTTAGAAGCAGATAAAATAACAAAAGGATTGCCAATTATTTTAAGGCTTTAATGACTTTTTAGACTATTGCGAAGAGTTGATTATGAAAATTAACAATTTGAATGTATCAAATATTAATCATATTCAACAAGAATATTTAACAGGAATATTTATCTATCATAAAGCGTTAAATATATGTCTTGAAGGTATTATTTTTAAATAGTATTAGAAACTAGTAAATTGTAGTTCCATCAATTTTGAAATTATCCTGATATTAATGAAGTTATCTAAACCAATAATCGTGTTATGCGATTAATCCACATATAAAACTTCAGTATACCTTTTGTAGATTATTTCTTTTTTCATATAGTACTTTGGATAATATTGAATTTACTTTAGTTTTTTTTTGGTATAATATGCTGCACTGTTAATGAAAATATAAATTTGTCTACATTCAGATAATCGAATTACAATGTATAAGTTGTGAAATGCAAAAT